GCGCTGGTGCTGACGGCGTCACTGCACTTCAAGTTGCAGTTGATGACGTGCCTACAGCTCGAGACTCGTCGCTGTCACCAGTGCTGAGCCCTGCCACCATGCCACCAGGCTCAAGGGCCTCAGGGCACCGCGGCAGTGTTCTGGGAGTTGGGGGGGGGGCAAGGGGAACGTCGGGGCGGAGGCGGCGCAGCATGGAGCAGCAGGGGGGGAGGGCGAGTGGCAAGGGGGAGGGGGTGGGGGGGGGCAGGGGAAAAGGCGGGGATGAGGGGGTGGGCGGTGTAGCTCGAGACGACTTGGTAGCGCAGGCGTTTCGGCAGGTCACGCAGGTACGTACGTGGTGCTGCGCCTGTGGCATGCTTCAGCAGACAATTCGATCCTGTATTCACAAGTGTCACACATATAGTACTTGCAAGTGATGTTGCGCAGGTATGTGTTGCTGCACGCGCTGCTGAGAGTGTGACTGGCGCATTGCACTTCTCGATAAATATAACATGAATTCGTTCGAGAGCGAGCATTCCGGGGCACTGCTTGAGCAGCGCTGAGGTAACGGAAAGTTGAGCCACGAGCACTACTTGAGTACACGACAGTACATTCATGTACTTCATACGTACACACACGCATACCCAATGATCTTTACTGTTTCTCCCCTGCCGCAATGATTGCTGCACAGGCTGTAGGGATGGCCAGCGAAGGCATGGCTCCCACGTTCACATGGCTCGCGCACAGACGGCAGAGCGTGTCATCGCTCAGCATCATACCGCCGCGCTCCCGTCAGGGTCGCGATGGCGACAGCGACGCATCTGGCATAGCCATACTGACGTGCGCACTGGACATGACCGTCAGGTTGTGGAGCTGGGAGGTAAGATGACCTGAGCTGAACCCAAGCCACTCTCTGCACATCAGCATTCATTCAGCATGCAGATTACGCATCGGTCCTCGTTTTGTTCAGGGCCGGGCTGCACATTTCCAGTTCGGTTGTAAGTCCACCCTCGTGCTACATTTTTGTGCTAATGGAAGTATCTTGCTAGGGGTGCTGACCATCTCTGGGCCGTTTTGCCTTGAAAGATGAATCATCATTTAAATATTAGCTGACCCCTTCCTCTTTCAGATATTGAAGTAGCATTTCAATACACACGCTGCTCCATCACTTTGAAAAGAGCATCATAACATTCCAGCAGGGCACATGCAAGTGGAGCAACACAGCGTTGCAGCCAGAAACCCGAAGGTCCAATTGTCGAAGTGCCGCGCCTAGTCACGTGGGCACACAGCCTGACAATGGAGGCGCATACCACTTCATCGTCAACATCACACTTTTCATGAAGTGCCAACGGTCATAGTACAGACAATGAACCAAATGTAGGGGTGTGTGGTTTCTGTGCTGCATTCAGCGACGGCTTGTGCTCTCTCACATGCCTTGTCTTCCACAAATCAATTATACCTAAGCCAATTGATCCGCAGAAAAGGTAGCTGCCACTTTGCAAGCTCGTTCATACAAGTCAGTGTCCAGTGCATGCGAGTAGCAATCATGACATCATGACAGTGGGTGCATCATGGCAGTCACAGCGCGGGTTTATGAGATTATAGCCGTCACAGTGAGATCAAAACAGGTGCGCCCCCCACTGCATGTCGCATTCACACGGCCGTCACATTCACATGTTTGGTCTGAAAAACACTAGCACGTGTGCGCAGGTGTAACCTCAGTTACATCGCTGCGACGGCTTCTAGCAGGAGACAACACCATCACAACTTTGCTTGTCCTGCAGGTCACGCCCAAAGATGCAAAACAAGCTGCCATCTCACTGACTCCTTGACGTTGAGATTTGTCAGGGACCCCTTCCGCATTCCTGCTGCATACACGATAGCTCTTGACAGCGAGCATGATGCAGAGCATGCCGTCAAATCTCGGGGGTCGTGTCCTTGCCGCCATCACCGACATGAAGCGCAGAGATGGTAGCAGTACCCGCTCATGGATAGAGTTTGAAGTGCTGGTCCTCTGGTGTGCACACCAGCTGTCGGAGAGAGGTGATGCAAAAAACATTTGACAAAACAAACAGGCAATGAGCTCTGTGTTCACTGCAGTATATACATCCAAGCGAGGCAAGCTTGGTGCTCCTGCCGCACAGTCACAGCGACACACATAGGGCAGACCGCGCTGCCAGAAGCTGCGGAGCAGCATGCGCTTTCGCAGCATCAGGCAATGACTATGTACACGCAGTTGCCATACAACAAGAATCAAACAGCGAGCATATGAACATATGTGCAATGATGTGAACGTGCAAGCATAGCCTAGTCATTGAGATGGATTTGGAGGTGCAGATATCATAACTGCTGACCTGTTGTAGCTTGTCGATTCATCTGTTACCACATATGCGACAGAGAGCAGCGCACTGCATGCAGCAAACGACCGGTATGTATATCGTCTTGAACTTATGCGATTCCTGCAGGTTGAGTATCACTCGCAAGGTAATGGCAGATACTGCCCTTGCCGTGAATGCTACCTGTCTTTGACACTGCAATGTGATGCATGCACAGGGCACTGCACGCATCGCATGCTCACCGAGTGCAGACGCCACGACAATAGATTTCTCCTGATAGCACGGCCAGTGTGCCAGTGGTGGCAGTAGTGTTCTTGCAAGGTGGCCTGCTGGTGGGCAGAAGGTTAGGGTTAGGGTTTGGGTTAGGGTTAGGGCCGGCAGTCACGCATGTACATATACTGCGAAGTACTGGACATGAACCTCATGACATGGCGACAGGGACTGCTACTGTGATAGCATGTATTGTACATGCTTCAAAGCACTGCCAAAAGCAGTCTTCTCTGCAGCAGAGCAAAGGCTGGCACCCTAGTGGCACCTATACGCGTACTGTTCAAAAGAATTCTTAAGCTCACAATACGCCCTACTAGTATGAGTGACCGGTTCTGAGATGATCCTGGCAGTGCGTGCTACTTCTTCAACATTCACCACGCGTAGCATAGACCATTAAGAAACGACACAGCGCCTGCTGAGCAGTTTTTACCGTTGGCAACATACCCAGCATCATGATGTGAAGGCTGCGCTCATCAATTGCAATTGATTAATCACTTGAACGTGAAAAAATGTTTAGTCCTGAATTTCGTGACCGCACATATGTACACCCAGCTAGCGAGTACACGTGCAACAACACCATTCAACAGGGCAAGTTGCAATTTGGCTTTGCTCTCACCTATGCGCTGCACCCAAACGTGTTCTGTAGCACCAAGAGATGTTGGTAGACACCAACCGTGCTGTACACCACGTCCACCAGGCGCCATCCAGCAGTGAGTAAGGGGAGGCGCAGAGGTCCGTAGACGCGATGCGCATTCCACTCCACCGCATCTGCATCAGCCTGAGGAACGGCCAGAAGAAACATGCCTCCTGGCTTGACATAAGTCAGGGCTTTCGCCATAGAGTGCAGGTCGCCATCGGGATTGAGCACATCTCCGTAGCGGCCCATGCCGTCGTGCTCTAAGCTAGAGTAAGATATGGCCCAGTCAAAAGGCGCGATGTCTCCGTTCAGCACCCCCTGGGTGAATTCGCTCACGAGCTTGGTCTCAATCTTGGGATGGTCGCAGGTGAGGGCGCCATACTCCACTGTCATAATACTGGCAACGTTGTGATTGAGGGCGATGGCCTCAGCCCAGGGGGTCTCGCTCCCGATAATGACGCCCCTTTTGTCCTCAAAGAAAGGTTGGTATCGGGCAAGGGCGGTGTAGAGGTTGAGGCTCTCCTTGCCGTAATTGCCTCCTTCCGTTCTTGTAGTCTGCTGCAGTTTTTCGACGCCTTCTTTAGTCCACCCCCTCCCCGTTTGCTTGCCGCCAAGATAGTCGGTGCCATCGACATACCACGAGCGGATCTCCACCCTCCCCTGCATCGTGAAGCTGTCCATGTACGTGGCCGGGATGTCCTTAGGCGGCGGGACCGCGCTGGGGTACTCGGGTTTCAGCCAGGCAGTCAAGAGAGTGAAGTCAGGAGTGGGCTTCCAGGCTGAAATCAGATTTACGTGAAGTGGTTGCAGATCCGCTGTCGATGGCGTGAGCAGGCGGCACGAGGGGTCCAAGGAGTGGTGAAGCCGATCCTCCAGTCGGTTGGAGGAGCCCGAATGAACACCCAGGTGGATCGGACGTGATCTGCTCACGGCAGGGTTGGCCTCCCGGAACAACAGATTGGGCAGCAGCGCGTCGAAGAGGATGGCAGAAGCGCAGCCCATCAGCAATAGCACAGCTCGCTCCTGCCATCTCGAGCAGGAAGGCACTGCCATGTTAAGCACCTAGCTTGCAAACACCGATGCCCTCGCCCTCGCCCTCGCCTCCCCTCTTCTATTAAAAACCCGCAACATATCACAAAAAGCCGACGGCAGTCCAAAAAATGATATTTTAGGAAGTAGTAGCAGTGTGGTACACAAAAGTGAGTCAAGTTCTTTAACACTTTTAAGTTCGTTTCAAAATCGATCAAATGACATTATTAAGCTAAATAAGATCATTAAGCTTCAACAAATGGTTTACGAGGCAGAAGATAATGTTAAAACAGTGGAAGCAATAAAAAAGTTCTTTTCACTAGTACCTAGAGCACACGATTGTGTGGATGAACAGGACTCATTAGATCGCGTGTAAAAACGTTTAAACATAAAGAAAAAATTCAAACAATCATCGGGCGAAGAACCTGCAGCTCTTTTGAACGACGACCAAACTTCAACCCCGTAATTAGTTTGTTTGCAAAGGCTGAAATTCTTAATTTAATTTTTATTTAGTATCGCTTGTATTAAAAGACTACAAGTTTGCAAGTCTTAAATGCCTTCATACCCCTGTTTTTTTTTAATTCTTATCTTTGTTTAAATCTTGTTAGACGTCTAGAATTCGATTTAAAGATAAAAACAAAGGCTGGTAGTAAAACCTATATATACCATATAAACATTTAATGACGGTCATTATAGACACGTCTGTGCAACAATTTGGAAAACTACATAACAAGTTATTTATAAAATACGGCAAGATAGAACAACTGGTAGTGGGTCAGACCCATAATCTGAAGGTTGTAAGTTCAAATCCTGCTGAAGCTATTTGGGAACATAGCTCAATTGGGAGAGCTTTCATTTTTATTTTATATTTTCTTTTTTTTACCTTCCTTACGTCTTACGTTTTCCCCAAGACAGACAATACCTTTTCCTTTAAAGGGTTCTGGTGGCCGAAAACTACGAAGTTTGTAGGCAAATTGAGACACATTTTCAAGATTTGATCCAACAATTCGAAATATATCTTTCTTAACTAAAGTTACGTTTAAATCTTTAGGAATATGTATACATACATCGATTCCGGTCGCAGCGCCACATGCACTCCATCGGCATGGCATTCCTCAACGAGCCCATGTATTCCACAACGGCTTCGTTCGATGGCCTATCCTGGCAGCTGGCCGTCAAACGCGCCATCGGAGTAGAGGAGCAGACGGCAGGCTGCAAGCTGTGCGGGGAGTCGCCGGGCGGCACCCTGCATGCACGGCTGTGTCAAGCGCCACGCGTCAAGGCGCACGACACCATTGTCCACAATAGCGTCAAGAGGGCCACGCAGCGCATCCTGCGGCAATACCTCAAAACGGGACTGGTGGACGAGGACTACACGCCGTTTCTGGGGTCCGCCGGGCCGCCGGGGAGTCGCAGGATGGACATCGTGCTGCCTGCCGACGCCTTCCCGGTGACCGGCTACGACGACTCGACACGCCACCTACCGCTCATGGTGGACGTTACCTGCTTCGAGGCCCAGGTGGCGTCGCGGGCGGCGAAGACTGCAGCAGACCCCGAGCGATGCTGCCGCGACCAAGAGGCCGCCAAGACTACCCACTATTCTGGTCATTATGATCAGAATTGCTACAAACTTGCCACTTTGGCAATAGGGTCATTTGGCAGCATCGGGGAGCAGGGGCGGAAGCTGCTGGAGGCTGTGGCGACGGAGTATGCCAGCAGGATGTCAGTGCCCGGAGGAGCGCGCCCTAAAGCTCTCAAGGGCATCGCCCTGGCGCGCTTACGCTCGGCACTGTCGGCAGCGCTCCACATGGCGTACTCTGGCCGTGTCATGACACACATGGCAGAATCCAGGGGGGGGGGGCACATGGAGGAGGACGTAGGGGAGGACCCCGAGATGCCATTTGGCGGCGGCGGCGTTTGAGTGGTTGTCGTTGCGACACTTTCAGACTGTCATACGACATGTAGATTCCTTACAGCTAGATGCCAATCATCTGGGCTTTTTCGCGCCCTGAGCGAGAATTAATAAAAAGTACACATACTTCATGACTAAAGCCTAAACGCATAACAATTAAATCATTTTCAATTCTACCTTTATAACCTACGCCAACAAATTGAACGTTTTTTACATATGGTAAAGATAGTCCATGAATTAAAGCTTTTAACTTTACTTGAAGGCTTCCATACAATGATGAATCTATTGATGATCCAACTACACTTAAATAATTATCTTTTACTTGCAATTTTGTGTGTGCTGGAAAAGTTATAGAAATTGTTCCATGTTTTCCAATTGCAGATACTTTCCATCCAATGCATTTAAGACTGACATTTTTAGGAATTAAGATTCTTTGTTTACCAATGTTTGACATTTTTATTTATTATATATATAGAATCTTTAAAAAATATAACACAAAGCTTGACCACCTAAATTTTTAGACAGCGCGGTTTTATGTGACATTATACCGTGTGAAGTATTTAAGATAATCAAACCCAAGCTACGATCAAATATCCACAAATCTTGGGAAGAAAAATAAATATTTTTGCTTGGCTTGCTAATATGTTTTAAACTTAAAATTTTAGGGTCACTCACTTGAAATGAAGTGAAGTTCAAGTTCAACAACGAATCTCTGGTGGCACTGACTGGCTGTGTGGCTTGTTCCCCCTCTTGCTTGCCGGGAGAGACAAACAGGGCAGAAAACACACACATGTGACATGGTTGCCAGAATGCATTGCCAGGTGGGTATGTGGGGGGGTCCTGTGGAGAATCAGTGCCCAGCAGAGGCAGCGACGCGTGCGGGCGCCGCCGTCATACCCCAAAAGGCGTCAGCGCGCCGCCTCCTGCTGCGTGCGGGAAAAAGCGTGTGCGCGTCTTTTCATTCAATCGAAGGGCAGCAGCGCAGGCATGCATTGCCAGTGCGCCGTCGCCCGCCAAAGAGCGCAAGCATGCATGCGCCCTTGGCTTGCCTGATGATCTAGACTAGGCTTTGCATGCGGCCTCAAGCGAAAACAGCTACGAGTGCGCCATCGCAAGTTGTCGAATTCTTGTTCACAACATGTTATCAGCTCATACTCCAAGCAGCGCTTGCCGCGCGAGGCCGCAAAAGATACTTACAAGCATGCTAAGCTGACCATAAAGCAAGTGTCACCTGCTGCACGTCCCACTGTTTCTTTCATGAGGTGAAACATGGCTCAGATGATCAGCTTCACTTGCTAACGCATTCTTACAGGATGACTCAATGCTGCTTGTACTTGCAGGGCGAGCCTCTGGGCATGGTGCTGGACAACGGCAGAGAGGGGAACCCCCCCTGGCTATTTGAGCCCCCAATGCCCGCCAGACACGCCCTACTGCGTGCACGCTTGACACCACTGGAGCCCGCCTTGCGCGCCATCGCCAACTTCAAGCCCAGCCAACGACCGTTCTCCCCAACTTCAACTTTGAAGTCCACACCCCCGGCACCGGATGCAACAGAGCCTGATCCAGTGCCATTGACAACGACTGCGGTGCGTCAAGTTCAAGTGCAAGTGAAACCTCAACAAGGCCACGAACCCCCGCTCGCGAGCGTCGGGCGCAGCAACACCCGGTCTTCGCGGCAGGTCGCTGCGATGTTGAGCGCTGATGCACAGCGCAGACTCGCCATGGCCCAACTTCTACAGGAACGGCTCGCGGTGGCAGCGCACAGCAGAGCGTGGGTCGACATTGAGCCGCCGAGCGCTGAGGACCTTGATGAGGCGCTGCTCAGCGAGATGCGAGGGGCCGTCAGTGCAACTTCAACTGCAACTGGCGGCGGTGCTCAAACGGCTGCGGGGCATGTGCTGCCGGTGCCACCGGAGATGGTGGATTCAGCGCAGGTGAAGGAGGTGGGCGGAGTGCTCTCGATGCCATTTGACAATTGAGGAACAATGAACTGTAATGCGTGCCTCAGTCTGGAACGACACGTTCTGATGGCGTGATCATTGTATACATGTGACAGTTGAGAGACAAATCTTGCTGGCTACGCGCTAGAATGCTGCAAGCATCTTTTGAGAGAAGGCCCGCGGTGACCATGTTCCGCAGCTGATCATTACAGAAGTGTTTGTGGCTTGCCTCAGTTCACAAGCCAGACGCTATGAAAAGCCCCAGTCTGGGACATGTGAGCACGCACCCTTCTACCTCTCTGTTCCAGGCATGATGTGTAGCCTCAAGTCAAAACTTAGGTGTACCCCCCCGCCCTCTCCATGATCGCCTCAAACGCGACATCAGTCTCATGTCTCCATGACGCTCTGTTTCTGTGCGCTTAATTTTTGTGTCTGGTGAGGACAGGTATCCGACAGCAGCCAGCCCCTCAACAAGCACGCCAAGCGCTACAAGCATTTGGCAGCGGAGCGCACGCGGTGCGCCGCACGCCGCGCCTGTGGCACCCTGGACCAGTTCACAAGCCACGTCATTGCTACTGCGCTGGGCACTGAGGCTGGCAGCAGCGGCAGCAGCAGTGCTCCGAAGGCCAGGCCACAAAGCGCCGCGCCGCGCCGCACTGCAATGGTCACGGCGGGTGCTGCCGTGAAGCGTCCGCGCACTGCCACCGTGCGCAGCGCGCGTGGGGCGATGGCCTCACTTTTTGGTGCAGCATCTGACCCCGAAGGGGAGGCTAGGGGGAACAGCATTAGCGCTGCAGCGGCAGGGTCAGCGGCTGCGGCAGCCGAGGTTGGTGCCGCTTCGCACGCAGCAAGCGCAGCAGCAGCTGGCTACCAAAAACAGTGCTCAGCAAGCCAGCATCGTGTCAGCAGTGATTCTGACACCCCGGCCGCAGAGCAGTCTGAAGCGGAAGTGCCACGCAACGCAGGCAGCGGCGGCAGTCTTGGTGGTGATGACTCAGGCGGCGCTGTTGTAACAGCTGCTGAGGGCCACTTGGCTTTACAGCATGCTGCAAGGCCTGCTACTGCGCCAGCAGAGTTGGCTTGCAGCATGAGCAACGGCGGCACTGTGGGTGCCACCAAGCAGTGTTTCATGCGCAGCGCCACATGCTCTACGCTGCAGCGGCAGTGCAGCCATGAGCGCAGCAGCGGCAGCAGTGCTGGGCCGCGCTCCGCGCAGGCGCTGCGGCGGACGCAGCTGCAGGAGAAGGTGTTGCGCCTGGACGCCATCATCGATGATGCTCAGAGGACAGACGTCCCTTCTTCGTTAATTATCAGTGGCGGCGGGGGCACTGCTGCTGCTGCCTCCGCCGCCGCTGCGCACACTCAGTCGCACGCTGTTGCCGCCGCGGGCACGCAACATACTGCCGCTGCTGCCGGGACACTGCAGTATTGCACTGCGCCCAGCTCCGTGAGATCGGGCACGGAGGGCCTGAAAGCGCTCATAGAGCGTTTTGAGGCTGCGCAGGTGGAGGAAGTGAAGGCGCCGCAGGATGGCATGGAGAGGCGCAGGCTGGAGCTGCGCGCGGCGCGGCGGCGCGCGCGCGTGGCGCACACCGCGGAGATGCGGCGCAAGGTATGTAGGTATTGTTGACAACAATGGCGCGCTTGCTCAGCTGCTGTGCATGTTGTGTAGACCACTTGGCATTGCTGTACACACCAGGTTGCCGGAGATGGGCAGCGTGTATGTATGTATCCTCAAAACTAGTGCACATCGCGTGCAGTTTGAGGCTGCTGTACATGTGTTGATTCTCAGTTGCTGCGCATATGGCTGCTGACAAACACATGACACTGCACGTGCACCGTGGCAGAGGGGCTACGGCGTGCGCGGCGTGCCAAATCGCTGTGCTGACTGCCACCAGGTTAAATGGCACTAGATATTCAGGTGCGTTCTCTGTGTGCCCTTGCCTATACGCAATGTGTTAGGTGCAGCC